GATGAAGATGACGCTCTGTGGTTGGGTCGATAGGGTTTGGAAGTTCGTTGATGAAGATAAAGATCTGGGTTGATCGTCGACGAAGATAAAGATTTGTGTTTCCAGAGTCGCCGTCAGCGCGATTTCAAGGCAAAACCCTATACATTGCGATCTGAACTAGGTCGCCGTCGTCCTACCGTCGTCTCTCTCTCTCTCTCTCTCTCTCTCTCCGTGTTTCTCACGAACCAGTTCCCATCTTCAGCGTTGTTCAAGCGGGTGAACGGTAATGAGCGACGGCACTCCCCCTCTGCCATTCTAGATCGCGGCGGTGGCTAGGGTTGCAACCACCAACAACGTACGGATAGTCAAGAAGGAAGAGAAGAAAAAAAAATAATAATTAAATAAATTAAACAAAATTAATAATTAAAAACAAAATAATAAAAATAATAATTAAAAACAAAAATAAAAATTAAATAATAAAAACAATAATAATAATTAATTGTAATGAATTAATAAATTAAACAAAATTAAATAAATTGCACAATTTTATTTCAATTAATATCAATATAAATTTATTTCAATTAAATAACTTCTTTGGTATTTTCTTTGGTATTGTAATAATAATATATTAAAAAAAAAACAATAGTTCTAATTGATATTAATGAAAACAAAACAAAATAATAAAAAAATGAAATAACTTCTATTAAATGAAATGACATGTAATGACATCACAACATTAATATAAATACATGGATATTAATTGATATTAATTGTAATGAATTAATAAATTAAACAAAATTAACAAAAAGAAAGAAAAGAAAAGAAAAAAAAAAAGAAAGAAGAGAAAAGAAAATAAGGCGAAAAAGAAAAAAAAAAGTATTGATGCTAATTAAGCCATTAATTGACACTAAGTAATTTATAATGAAAAAATGAAATAATTTTATACTAATTGATACTATTAATGAAAATAATGATTTTTGTAATACTAATTATATTAACTTTTATTAATGAAATAATTTTTTTAAAATTAAAACTGAAAAAAATGACAAAATAATCATTTTTATATCATATAAGGGCAAAAAAGACAATTACACAGCAAAAAAATTATTTACAACTTATCAACCAAACACTACTCTATTACTTGAATTCATAATTCCACAGCTACACCAAACATGTTAACAACTTATGTTTACAGCAATAAGTTATAATCTGTTAAGTTATAATCTATAATCACTTTTCCACAGTTCAGAGGCATTCTATTGACAAAAAAATGATAATACAAACTAAACTATTATCTATTATATCAACTAATCACGTGTATTTACATGTGTAGGTCGTCCACGTAGTTGATAAAATAGTTAGTAGTTTAGTTTGTAATTGTAACGAAACTGCAATTCACAGTATGCACAAATAATATATATATAGAAAGAAATTTTAGAAATTCATAATTTTAGACTTATAAATTCTTTTATAATGTGGCAATGATAGAGTATATGATTCATTGTGACAAATAAAATGTTGACACTTATCATGTTATACCATTACGAGTCAAATTAAAAGAGTTTTTTTTTTTTTTTAAATCCTAAACATTTTTCATAATATATTACAGAAATATATAAAATAAGCTTTACCACCCGAAATATTCACAAAATTCCCACAAAAATACAAACAAAAAAATAGTCTACATATGTATTTGTATTTATCTTGAATCCTTGTAGCACTTATGAATATGATCCATCAACCGTTTCTACAGACCAACTTTCGTTTTGTAAAAAAATTCTATTCTAAAAAAAAATTAAGAAACTAATTTTCTCTCTCCATCAATTGTCTTCATAAGCAACTATTTTAAATTACCAATTATCAATCACACGGTTATTTTTCATTTTCTTTTTTCATATTTATATCTTGAATCCTTCCATCAAATTTTATGTTTTTGGTATTTTTAAAATTGAAACCTTATCGCAATGCATTATCCGAACATATGGACGGCTAAAGACAAAAAACATATCTATATTCCCAACTAGGAAATTCTATAGTACCCACCCCAATACCCTCTTTGGGTATGTATCGAGTTATGCTAGGAATCTTAAATAAATTACTAAATAAATTACCAAACCTCTTACATAGGTGTAGGACCCACACAAATCACATGGGTGTGTGGGTCTCACACCCATGTGAGAGGTTTGATAATTTATTTGGTAATTTACTTGGGATGCATAACATTTTCCGGTATGTATCAAATGCACTTTTGATTATGATTTTTGTAGTATTTAATTATGATTTAATATGGTGTTAATTATTCTTTATAATATTGTTTATGACATTATTTTGGTTACAATTTGAAAATTCTTTGATTATAGCTTATGTGGTATTTGATTATAATTTTATTTCTCTATAAGTATGACTTATATAGAATTGAGTTATAACATTTGATATAATTAAACTCACATATATCATAATTTGCATATGGTACACTATATAGCACAACCCTGCAAACCGTAGTTTTATGACATCTATTAACCTCATTTATGAAGAGCCGAGCATATTTTTGTGTTCCAAGTAATTTTATCTAGGGGTGGCGTCTTGCCGTGTTCATCTCATGTGATTTTAAGCTCGTATTAGAATTATCTTATCATTGTTCGTATTAGAATTATCTTATCATTGACCTAACTCGTTTATTATTTTATCTTATCATAATGAGTTATTTTTTGTTTATGTCCGATTCGTATCATGTTAACTTGTTATATCAAAAAAATTTATCACGAGTTAAAATATCAAGTGTATAAAAGAATTAAAGGTTGTGTTTGGTTTGCCTTTCGAATAATTTGGTTGATCACTATTCATCTTTTGACAAATTTAATATAATTGTCTCTTTTGAGTAAAATTGTATTATATCTTTTTGATACATATCGTACCAAATTCATATTAATTTTGCATCTTATTGTATGTAGGACACACCCATGTGTTGTGTATCATGAGCAACTATTTTATATCTTTTAAATATATTATGTAATATAATATAATATAATATATTACTAGGTAGGCAGTGCATACTTTACATATATATATTATTATAATAAAATTAAAAAAAGAAAAAGAAAAAAATGGAGTAAATCATTTCATATCTTACCTGTTTGAATTCAAAGTTTTGAATATTATAAGATATTATTTATAATGTTCAACTTGCCTACAAGTGATAAAAGTGGCTCTATGTTTGAAAAAGGGAAAAAGATGGTTGTACTTTTATCATCATTCCAATCATTATCTTTTGTTGTCTATTTAAAATCAAGGAGCATCAGGAGCATGTTTTCTGTCAAGAGGAGTGTCACCTCTCTCAACGGATAGATTTTTGGGTATAAATAGAAATGTTTTGTGTGAACAAAATTAAGAACTTAAATAGAAAAAAAATCTGTGTGCTCCAAAATTTTGAGTGTATTTTGTACTCTGCTCTTTCACTTTCAAATATAAATGTTGTCTTTGTTCTTATACTTTCATATCTACTCTTTGTAAAAAAATTATTGTAAAAGAGGATTAAAGTACCTCTTATTTTTATTTATTATTTTGTGAGAGAAATTTTGTAAGGGTGAGGCATTTATTGTTTAGCGAGGCTCAACAAATGAGAGTAAGACCTGTGTAAAATCCACAAGTTTGGTGAAGCTTTGGCGTTGTATTAGTTCATTTTGATAGTGAAAAAATTCTCGAGGAGGATCCTTGAGGAGTGGACGTATGCCCGATGTACCGAACCACTATAAATCTCTGTGTTTGATTTTCTCTCTTTATCTCCTTTATTTTTATACTGATTATTATTGCTTTGTTTTTATTTGTTAAAATTTGAATATTTAGATTAACATATTTAACATTGTGAAATTATTTTTAATAACCCAATTCACCCCCCTATTGGGTTGTCTACCTGGGATAACAATTGGTATCAGAGTAAGGACTTTAGTTTTTGTGACTTAACTATCTTAGAGTAAATTATGGCAACTCTTAGCTATTCTTTACCTAAGCGACAAGCATCCAATATACCACCATTGTTTAGCGGTACCAATTTCAGCTACTAGAAAACTAGGATGACCATACATATTAATGCAGTTCTCTATCTCCCTTTCAAGTAGTCAAGAGTTTGTTGGAGCCGATAATCAAACCAGCAACACTCCAAACACATAATGTAACAAAGTTCTACGAACTTTGCCAAAAGCATGCATTTTAAGTAAGATTTGTAAATTTATGGAAGGAAACTGGGGCTATTGATGTTTTTGTGGATAGTGAGTTTGTTGCAACAGGTATTTATAGCTCCAAGAAGTTAATTGCACTGAACAGAGCTACCAATAATGCATACAATGAAATTGTGAGAAAGTTGAGTGCATAAAACAACAACGATGACCAATAATAGCGAATTGGAATGTAGTTACTACGTATGAACACATAATTTTTATGCAATGACTTCGTATCATTTCAAGAATTAGAAAATAAAAGGACAAAATACAAAGCCGCATTTAACACGTGATTTGTTCTTTATTTAACATCTCTTTTTTACCTATTTTCATTCATCTGTAACGCATTTACATGTAACAACTCTGTTATGGTATCTCATTAAATTTAATGTTTAGTGGAAATTGTCGTGGAAATACTCAAGTTCTCTCAACTTTTTTTGGTCATAAATTTGTTTGTTGTTCACATGAAGCAAGTGAGAAATGGTGAATGATCACGCGCATATCATATGCACGGTTTTCTTCTCATTTTTGTTGTGTGCATCTATTTTGATTGAGCAAAATCATGTATTCTTCTATATAGGCCTCTGTTGGGATCTAAGCATCTGCCTTGTTTTAGTTTCATGATCATAAAAGTATTCAGTTTATGAACCACGTCAATGCATATATATGTATTTATTTGGTTTGGTGAAACTAGCCTTCACATAGAAGGCAAAACTTAGCAATACTACAAAATTAAAAAGCTCATCTTCAAAGCCCATCATTATGTAAACTCTAAACATGGGGATGCTGAAATAGAATTTAGGCATATCACCAGCCTTCACCGCCACCTTTACTACTACTTCCAGACCAACCGCCACTGCCACTGCCACCAGATTGTTGTGGGGCATAACTTTTCTTGGTGCCTCTCCAGCCAGAACTCCCAGCATCGGCATCGTTCCCACCTGATCCACCACCATCACCACCATCGTCACTGCCGCCACCATCACTACTACCCCAACCGCCATAGTTCTAAATCACGGTATCGGGTAACATAACGGTATCAATTGCGGAGTATCGGTATCGGTAGTATCGACTAGTACGTATCGGGAATCAGGTGTCACCGCCATGAAATTTCAAAAATCATGAACAATTCCTCAAAAACTCAATTTTATGCATTTTTTTAAAAACTCTTTTAGCATTAATTTATCACATTTTAATCAAAATTTTGATATGTAGGGGCACTTTTGACTCATTTTTAACTAAATGATATGTATTTATTTTAGTCTCAAGCTTTTATTTGACATATATGTTAAACTTTTAATAAAAAAATTGATGTGGAAATATTTTTTTACTTATTTTCGACAATGAAATACTTCCAAATGCACAACAAATTAATAAGAGAAAGAGGGACATGAAAATAAATCATTCGTTTCAGTTATAATCGCATACAAACAATCTACTAAAAATCAAAAACTCTAAAACTTAGTAATAAAAAGAATTACGTGGTAGTACAGAAGGATCTCCATATCACACATCACTTTGATCATCACTATGAATTGGTTGGCCTATTTCTCCATATTGATATTCCTGGTAGTAGTTATTGAAAGTGCATTGATCATTAGTGGTGTTGTTGCTGCCACTGCTACTTGATTGTTGTTGTGTCATTGCAAGCCCCCCTGTACCATAATTGAAACCCTTTGTATATGGATATTGATGAGGTTGTTGACAGTAGTTCCAATTTCCCATATAAGGTGGTTGATAGATGTGTGGTGGTGGTTGACTTAGAGGAGGGTAATAAGGATATGGTACTGGGCATATTGGTCGCCAATGTTGAGTTCACCTTCCATCTTCTTGTCTAACTCCAAGATGTCCAAATTGATTTCTAAGGTCACGATGACTATAAATATCATCAATATGTCGTGAACGCCTAATTGATGCTTCTACATCAGGAGCAGAAATAGAATGGCGTCGCTGCTGTGTAGAATTCATGTTCCAATCATGATCAATATGATGAATACTGCTTTTACTACCATGTGAAGAACCTGCAGACTCCCATTGTCCACCACTACCACCACCTGTTGGAGGACGACTTCCATCACTATCATCTTCATTACCACTAGGTGGACTCAAACCGCGACCCTCATTAGAGCCACTTCCAGCAGACCCTGCTCTTTGATGGTGTTGAGGTGCTTGGCTACTAGTGGCATGATCTCCCTCATCATCATCATTAACAATCAACCAACCTGAGTTATCTTCATCATCCAAGACTGCATGTTCTCTCTCTTGAAGCCATGGAGTTAATAGATCATCTTCTTCAAATACATAGTCAAGATTGATGGGGTTAAAAGATTCCTCTCTGTCATCTTGGCTTTTTCGTGTTGCATGTATAATCTTTAGCCTCATATTGTAATACACATAAACAAGTTTATTTAATTTTTTATACTTCGACTGATTCCTTATCTTTGTATATGTATCCGGCTAAATGTACTCCAATTGCACCCACAATTAGAAGAAGACGTGGTTTGGCTCAATACTCTCACAACCACTTTTTGAAGTGCCGGAGCCGATGTACCATAATGGATCCACCATTCAGCTATATACAAATCAATCAATCATTAGTGATTATGTTATAATTTGATATAGAAGTGTTGACAATGTAACAATAATATGTAATTAAAATAGTTAATAGTTGATTGAGTATATAATAATTACCAGGATTTGTTGCTTTCACTGCTCTTTGTGCTAACACAACACTAAAAGAATCTTCTTTATTACAAAATAAAGAGATCTGCAATGAACAAAAGGCAATAAGCAGTTTGACAAACACAATTCACAAGTCAAATAATAAGTTATCAATTTAACTAATATTAAATAATGACAAACTTCGTTTATCGCTTGTATTTGCTTGTTTAAATCTGGTAGAAGTCTCGAAATCACATTCTAACTCCACTCATCACTTCTCGATGATTAGAAAGGTGCTCCCCATATTGGAATATGGGATTTAAAAAATAACCTACATTCAAATATAAAATAATAATAAATGTGAGACAAAGGAACGCATAATTTATAATTTAAATAAATTAAAAATTACTTACTAGCAGCATGCAAATCCGTGTGTAGTTGGAAAGCCCATCGATTATCAATAATCTTCCAATAATCTACATAATATCGACAATTTTGTTTGATGGCTAACTTTGCTCTATCCATGGCTTCATATATAAAACCCATTGTGGGCTTTTCATCCCCATCTACAAGTCCAAGCACCTTTAGAAGTGGTTCTTAAACTTTTAATACATCTGCCGCCTTGGTCCAAAAATCTTTACTTTGTATAATTTTTTTCGCTTCTTTTGCATCATACTTTTTGGACCATTTGTTGTGATTCCACTCTTGAGAATGAAACATATCCTGTAAACAATGCTTTCCAAAGTAATGAAATTGGTTGCAAAGCGTGTGAAGACAGGACGTAACAACTCTCTATCTCCTGTGAATCTCTTCATGAAATCTACGACCCAATTAGAGTTGTAAATAAAGTGTGTGATTACTTTTGCACAATCCAACACCTTTGCTACAATTTTTTTTCTTCACAATATCCTCTAACATAAGATCAATACAATGAGCTGCACATCATGTCCAATACAAATTCTCTCTTTTTTGCATGAGTTTGTAACTAGCTGCCTTTATTGCAGCTCATTATCAGTTACGATTTGCACAACATATTATTCTCCAATTTCATCCACTACCTTGTCCATGAGGCCCAAGTAATAATCAACTATCCTACTAGGTACATCAGTTACATCCACAGACTTTTGAAAAATTGTTCCATGATTTCTATACACAAGAAAATTAACAATGTGCTTTCTTGTGGGCCCAGACCATCCATCACACATAATTGTAACACCCCTCTCAGGCCAACTAGATTTATGAGATTTTGTCCAATCTTGTAAAGCTTCATACTCCATTGGTAAATACACTTCAGTTACTTGTTTAATAATAAATAACAAACAAAAACTATTAACAAGCATCTTAATAATTTATTTATTTTTAAACATAGAAAGAGTTTTTTCAAACTTTAAGTTAGAGGCTTACTTCATAAGAACTAGGTAGCTTTGTTCCTTTTCCAACCTCTCTTGCAGTATCCAACATTGGTTCTAGCCATTTAGAATTAACAACATTAGTAGGCACCAGAGTGAACAATACAAACTAGCTAACTGCTCTTCCTAATTTTTTCTTTGCTTCTTTCAAGAATCTAGAAGAGAGTTTGGATTGTTTGTTGCCTTTGGTCCTATGAAGATCCACATTTATGTCGAATAATTAAACTTCTGGAGAGAATGTATCAATCCATTTCCTACCTGTACTAGCCTCATGAACACTATGACTTTGCAGAGCAAAACTAGGAGGAGGTGCAACCTCAATATCACTAGCCCTAATTTGTCGGGCCATAACCATTTCTAGGTCATTCTCATCATTTTCATCATCATCACATTGATTGGCTCTAATTTGTTCTGTTAATTCCTCATTCATCTTCATTTTGTCAAGATTTTTGCCCTTATAATTATTCAAATGATCCATCATTAGTGTTCGAACTTCACCACTGACATTAGCACTAGGTGCAACTTGACCTTTCATATGGGCCAAATGTTGCTTCAACCTAGTTATACCACCATTTAGCTCTTTTCCACAAAATGTACACCTAATTTTATGCCTAGTATTTTCTAGTGGAATTCCAAATTTCCAACCAATATCATCACTTGGAGGTTTTCCACTAGAACCACCTCTGTGCGCCATTATAACTTTCAATTATCTACAATAACAATTTTCAATTAACAAATATTGTAATTCTAATTTAGTTACTAATAATAATGCATTTAAAATAAAAATCTAAAATATTAAACCTCTTTACTTAGCAATTAAACCTCTTAAAAAAATTCTAATTGATGAAACCTCTTTAAAAATAATCTGACATAAAAATAATCTAAAATAAAAAAATTTGACAGATTAAAAAATCTTAAATAATAAAAAAATCTGACAAATTAAACCTCTTTAAATAAAATAAAAAATCTAAAATATTAAACCTCTTTTAAAAAAAAAAAAAGAAAAAAAAGAATGAACAATCAAGCTGTTGATAGACAAAAGTTTTGAAAACTATAATGGAAGTTAGTCAAACAGATTCAATACATGAGCCTAATTATACACTACTACCACTTAATTTATTGGTTTTAATAGGTCCATGAACAGTAAATCTAATAAATCAACTTAAAGGAATAAAGAAGTGAAATAAGTATAAAACATACTTTACAGATACATTGCTGAGAAAAAAATATATAATATATATATATATATATATAAATATTTGAACAATCATAAATATATATATTAAAATGTCTCCCATCCCATACCATAATATAACCACAGAACAATGGCTTAAATCAACTACGAAACAGAAAAAAGGAAAACAAAACAAAACAAAACAGAACACAAGAAGAAAACAGAGCATGACACAACAAACCTTCAAAGAAGAAGCTTGAAAACGGTGCCACTAGGAGATGGGTTTGGGTTCAATTTGATGCTTCTCCCTACAATACTTTACAAGATCGATGCCACTGGGAGATGGATTTGGGTTTGATTGAGGATTTGGGTTTGGTCTGATTGAGGGTTTTTGTTTAGAGGTTGTTACAAATTTATAGTCCGTAAGTCTGTGTATTGCTTGAAGAAGACAAAAAACTTGAAGTGAAAGGTTTGAGTGGGTGATGTACATGTATGTGATTGGTTATTCCCTTCCTTTTCTGTATTTGCTTTTGTTTTTGCAAGTGCTCTACTCCATTGTCATCTGTACCAACCGATTATTTTTGCTTTTGCAGGAGGTTCTCTGTTCCATTTTTAGCCGTACCAGCGATAGAAAACATGTATCGGAACTATATCGCTCACGTATCGGATTCAGGCCGATATATATCAAGAATCGGCCGCTATGACTATGAATTTCATTCTCACCGGTATACCAGCCCACATCCGAATCGGCACTCCAATTTTTCGGTACAAATCGGCCAGTATGTACGTGCCGGCCGATATTGTGGGGCAGAACTTTTCTTGGTGCCTCCCCAGCCAGAACTCCCAACATCGGCATCGTTTCCACCTAATCCACCACCACCTCCGCCACCACCATCACTGCCCTAACCGCCACTGCCACTGCTACTACAACCCCAACCACCGCTGCCATCATCACTGCTGCCACCTCCACCGCTTCCACCACCACCCCAACCGCTAGGAAAAGCTTCCCTGCCTGGTGAATTTTGAACTTTGCACCTGGAAAACTGCTTCATCCTTCACCACCATCCTTGGTACCCCATTTTTGAGAACTATAGTCTGAATCATGCCTGTGAATATTCCAGCGGCCGCCTAGGCCACGGTTACGTCCACCAAACGTCCTTGGAACCCCACTTGGATGCCCATCTCAATTGCCGCCATTTTAGTAATCGCCTTTCCCTGATCGTGAACCTCGTGTAGAAGTTCTCTCTCAATCCATTAACTGACCTCTCCGGCCACCATCATTACTGCTAGAACCACTCCACCCACCACCACTGCCAAAAGATCCACCGGATGAGCCCCCAGTTGCAGGGCTTCGCGTTGGCACCATTGTAGCAACCGATCAGATTGAGGGCCTCAAGTCATGTTGGGAATCATCAATATGTCTCTAAAATATACTACAAGCCTATCAATGTCCTCAAACATATTCTTTCAAAACTTGAATC